ACCCATCAATAAAAAATAAGCAGATAAAACCACATAAAAGTACGATGCGGTCAAATTCTCTTCTTTAATCTTCTTATTGTCCCTCTGGAACAAGACAGGTCAGCTAAGAATAAAGGCTAACCTTCAACATAAGTTTAACTCCCCACAGAACCAAAAGGCATAGCTAAAAAAAATCAGCAGCAGGGAGAAGCAGGTCATAGTGAGGACACTTGAAGAAGGGGCCTCTAATGACTCAAGCTGAATAACATCAAATTATTAGACAATTTTATGACAAAATCCAGGGAGATCAAACTGATGCCTATAGGGCTGACACCTGACTCTCCCTCAGCAAGGTGAGGAGGACATTCGTTCATACTCTGGACACTTGAGGAGGGCAGGGTAGTTGGAGGAGTTCATCTGGAGGGAGGCCTCAGAGGAGATGGAGGAGGGACTGCGACCACGTCCAGCCCAGGCATCTGGATGGAGGAACTGGCCGGAGTAATCGGAGCAGTTGCTGAGACGCGGCCGGTAGAAGCCCTGATGAGGCCGGTACATTTCCTCTGCCGTGTAACGCTTCATGAACAGGTACACTGACATGACACCTGCCGTCTGTGGGGGAAGTGAAGCAGCGAAACACACAATTTACCATTGTTTGGTAACACCCTTATACAGTACTTCTGTTTCTATGTATATAGTTCAATTTTACCCGCTTTAAATGATCAACTAGATACAGCAGCATTTTGAATTTGCTGTAATGAAAACACATAAACTGGAACATAATGGATTCATTAAGACTAGGCTTATAATTTATAAGGTAGCCAGTGTGTCTTATTGTCGCACAAATAAACATGTACAATTCAGGTTACATTAAATAAAATAAATTACCATATTTTAGGATTAAATATTTCACAAAAAATGAACAACTGCTGATTACTACTATGCACTTATTGGAAGATGGATGATTTTGCCCTGTAATGAGCAACAATCAGCCCCCCACAGTGAACACGTAAATCATGGCTTAGGATGTTCATTTAAGTGTGTGTGTGTGTGTGTGTGTGGATGTTTTTGTTTTGGCTCATTTTCTTCCTGTTCTTTAAACAAGATCAAGCTGAATTTCATAATTAATCATTTCTGACAATGTGGTGGCAGATTATTGTGAATGGTTAACAGAAGGAGAGACCTCAACTGAAAGGTGGAATTAATCACAGAAGACACCTAAATGATTTTTTAACCCAGACCAGTTGTTTATATCTGAGGGACGGGCTTTGGCAGAATGTAGTATTAAAGACTCAAGCACATAATGATTCATGCGTTTACTTTCTGCCCTTTTTGTTCTCAGGGATGGATTATATTTATCACACAAAGAAGCGTGACTTCAGGACAAGACAGACAAGTAAGAAGAAATTAGAACATCAGTTGAAGAAAGAATGAGAGAGATACGTTTTAATCCGGCAGAAGTAAATTGCTGCCAGCGCTCTTTAATTTAATTAACTATAATATCAAAGCATGATCTGACAAAATCATATTACACAAATTAAATAGTGAGAAATGATCATTTGTACTTCTGAGCTGTGAAATTCTCAATATTTACAAACCAGTTTGTCTGATGTTGATTTAATTCAGGCATACGCAGGCCCAAGACTTAATGTCTGCATTAAGAAGGAAAGGTTTGAAGAGGTACTTTGATGCCTGCTGGGGTAACGTGAGATATGTAGAGTGTTATAATACTCCCCTCGAGTGAGGTTACCTCAGTGAGCAGGAAGGAGATGGCAGCGAAGGCAAACGACCAGCCGTACTTATAGGTGAAGTAGGCTTCGTTTGTTTTGGTCCTGTTCAGCATTTCATCATTAATGTTGGAGATGTACAGCACCAGACCAACAACCAGAGACAGACCTGTAGCAGACAAACAGAAAGAGATTTCTAGTGACTGGAGGAAGAGGAGAGATCAGACTTTCAAAAACATATTGTGTGTGAACTATAACACAGCTTTCGGGAGAGCTCTTTTTCCTTTTTTTGGTCAGACTAATGACAGATACAACACGTGATTGAGCTTTATTTATCGTTATTCCTAGTGATAAGAATACAAATAATAAAAATAGAAAAACAGATGACAAGTAACCGGTGGTCTGTGTATTTCAACACCACGGAGGCACAAAGAGAAGAGAGAGACAGAGAAGCCATTTTACTCTGTGCACACTCCTGTGTGAACGTGAACACCTATGTATTCCTGACTGTTATGATTCATATGTTAATTTCCTTTTTTTTTTTTCTGTTTTACAAATGAAGGAAAACTAAGTCACTTGTCCGTGACGACTGACTGTGACACTTCTTTTGTTTTGTTTGTTGTTTTTGATTTAAGGCAACTGACCTGACCAAGCGAGACTTTTCCCATAGTTTGCTCCATGGTTATATACACTGTATGACTGGCATCGCTCTTATTGCAAACCACGCCTAGCCACCGCTTTTATTAGAACAATAAAGCTATGTTTTACTGTGCTTTCTTCCTAAATTAAAGTGATAGAGAATAAACCTGAACAAACTCTGTAACATGACCATAATGAAAATCATGTTGCCCTTCAGGTATTTCAGCACAAGCTAATCTTCTCAGTTATATCATGCCTGCAGGTGTTTGTTGATTTATTTGGAAATGTTGGAAGTAAAATTCAAAGCCATGTACCTGATAAGATGAAGAAGATCCCAGAAACAAAGGCCAGGATAGTGCGATGGGGTCGGATGTGGCCGATGTTGCTGAGTACAAAGCCAATGAACATGAAAAAGAGGCTGACCAGAGGGAAGGGTGTGGCAGAACGGATCATCTCTGAAACAGGAGAAGAAAAACCAGGATGAAGAAAGAGAAGAACTGTGAAACACCTTTGACTGGGACTGAATGGTATGATGTATTTTCTCTTCTGACTTTAGAGAAGGTGTTATAACAACCTCCAGAGAAAGCTGCTGGACACACGTCTAGCTGATTAACTACTCTGCTATTACAGCAGCTCTAAATCTGTGACATGCAGTACCATCTTTAGACAGAATCGATGGTTACAATCTCCCTGCATATACAGAACAGTACAACCACCTCTTCTGGCAAGGTCACTTGATAAGAACTGAGCAAAGTCTATCCACTGACAAAGATGATGAGAAATTATTTAAAGCACTAGGAAAAGCTAGTGAGAGGAGCTAGAGTTAAAACGTTTCATGCTAGATGCTCTGTCATCTTCACTGTGGTGTAATCTTGCAGAACGTTATGGACTGCAGCTTGAGGACATGAGGGGTATGAGATCCGAATAGGCTGTCTTGACAGTCACTCTGTATTCCCGGCTGCTTCTCTGCATACTACCGGTACTTGTTTGTATCCATGCGTGTTCACCCTGCAGGGTGTCTCTACAAAATGAAAAAGGCACCCTTCATTTTTTCAAACATCCCGAGTGGACTGATCTTAGAGAAAAGCAAAACCACATACCATACAGTGTGATGAGGAGGCAATAACAACGTAGAAATGTGGGCTCAAATCATGTGACTTGTACTTGTCAAACATGTATGTGAGGACTTTAGACTTTGTTTAACAAAGTAGAAGAAAATTAATTAGGTACTGTCAACACTATCCCTACCACTGGCCCTGTAAGGGCTGCTAACAGACATGTGCTGCCGCAGTGACACATGGTGTTAGCACACATTTCTCTCGCCTGCCAGCAGTGAGAGAGAGCCTTGCAGGTCCAGGCGAACAAACCGCCACCAAACTGTATATGTCACCTCTTCATTTCATGACAAACTATTTTAAATGAAGAGCCTGAACAGTTTCACCAAACTGAAGCATTGTTATATAATAGTGGAGTGTGAACAGTTACTTACTCAGGACACTGACAGTGGATTCAGAGGTCATATGGATGTTAGTAGGCATTACATACTCTATGGTAAAACACCGGCCTTTCTCCTCCCCTGGAACAAAGGACAAGGATAAAATATACTCAATAATATTTCACATAAATCTGTAGTGGAAGCAGGGCTCAGCACTCTACACAACTGATGAAACTGTTAATTGGGCCACTCCAACACAGAAAAGTCAAATAATGATAACACCTATCATGGCAAAAGGTTATAACCGTACACCACAAAACTCAGGTTTTCAGTAACTCGGCAGAATTTATTGCCATGTGCTGGAGTTACAGTAGTAGGTGTGTCATAGCCGTGAAACAATTCTGGCTTATGTCATGAGTAAAGCTGTGGGATGCCACCTAAAAACATTACAATAAGTCAAAAAAAGCAAGGAATCAACAGCTAGTTTGATATAACACACAGTTTCTGCTGCCAGTATTTGTATGAGGTATACCCATTAGAACACCCACCCATTAAATTTTAGCACCTTTCTTTTCTGACACATAGAGTACAAGGTTTGACACCACAACACACTGAGACACAAACACACACTCTTGTAACTGATTCCTCAACACTTCATTAACTACAGACACTGTGAGGTGTTGAGTTAGGTGATATTTTGAAGTTTAGCATATTAGTTTTCATGTGATGTATATTATGTGTTGATGATGCATACTGATACAAAAAAAGATAAAAATAAATGTAATCATATGAGTGGGCCAATATGTCAATAAATATAACAAACAACACATGCACTCACTTTGCAGAATGGTAAAACATGCTAAAAACAAAGCAAAAAAAAAAAAAAAA